ATTTAATGTTTGAAATTTTCAACCATGAAACAAATATTTGTGACTCCACAGCTAGTGATTATATTATATGATTGTATTCCTGCCCCATCCAAACCATCCTGGGGTGCAACCTGCACTTGCAGTCAGTATAAATAAGTAACAATGTCTTCTTGTATACATACTACACTAAAGTCTCAGACCTTACACAGGTAGAGCTTTTATGAGCAACATTCTGCCAGTTTAAGAAAAAAGCAACCAATCAGCAGTAAGGGATCAGTTCTCTTCATACCACTGATAGATGTAACTACACTAGCAAATCCAAACCTAAGCATAAGCCCAAGAAGGTTTTTATGTGCTGCTGTCAGCTCCATGCTGCACAGATGAAAGAATTAAAAAAAAGAAACCACAACCCACACAAAAAAACAACCAAAAAACCCCCACCCAAAATTATAAAAATGTGATAAACTAAGCTTGTTGGGAAAAGAAAGAGGTTCCATAAAAAGAGCAAATAGAATTAATGAGAGACTATGATGGGGCATGGAGAGAAATGTGGGAAAATTCCTACAGGGATGAAACAAAATTTCATAGTTGCTGGCCAATACAGACTGACAGCAAGAAAAGAAACTAACAGCTGGTAAAGAAAAAAAGAATTACTACCCAACAAAGTACCTTAAATGCCACGCCGGTTCAAAATCAAAGGTACACACCTTACCCAGCATCCTACCTCCACTTTCACAGCAGATAAAGAACACAATAGATTGGCCAAGCTAGCAGCAGGCTAAGAGGAACGGTAATCACGCCTCCAACTCTCACAACGGTGCCACTTGGTATTCCAAGAAGACTGATTTGTTTTCTATCCAATATATACATGCTATGAGCAACAGCCCCTTGAGATTTTTCAGCTCATTAAATTAAATAAGTTTTTTTGTCTTTAGAAACGCACTGTGGTTCTACTTCAACCAAGTCCCTTTCCCCTTGCTCAGGAGGCGGGAACAACAGTCTGAGCATTAACAAACTCTTTGCACCAGGACCATTTGAAAGAGGCATCTGCAGCATTTTTTATTTGCTCTGCATCCTCCTCTGAGGGCCTTCCAGTTCCTCAGAAATCTAAAAATGCAAACAGATTTTATATGAGAGTTTTGAGGGGCTTTTTTCCCCTTTAAGCATTTGGTGTTGTCATGCTCAAAAAAATCCAGAAAGACTTTAGTGTCATAGCCCAAGCAAAGACTGCCGTGACAGCACACCCGAGTTCTTAGCAAAAATCAAACATCCCTTCTGTAGACCACAGAATGATCAGCACACTCAGACAAGACAAGCCAGCATCCTTCCCTATGCTTCAGGTTTCCTACGGCATCCACAAGCGTTTCAGAATTACCTTATGCTTACAGCTCTCTCTCCCATCCTTTACAGACCTTGGCAGGAGAGAACGATGAAGCTATTGCAATGAAGCCTGTACCAAAAGCTACCCTCAAACAGCTTTTGAAGGCTGATGCCTTCAACGGCACCAGGAGGCATCTTCAGGATACCTGATGTGTTTCTGCGCAGCCTGCGGAACGGGGCCTACCTGCAATTGCTGCAGCCGTTCTGTCAGAGGGTAAAAAGCCAAAAAGGTAGCTATGAATGAACCCCCGCCCTCACCCCCCGTGGTCTGTCACACGGTAACCGGCTTCGATGGCTTCAACTCACCACCTCCAGGATACCCGAGATGCAACTTGAAAGACAGAAGACAGTCCCGGCGTTTCCCCAGGGCGGTTTAAAGGAAGAGGAAAGAAAACCCCAGCTCTCTGTACCATTTTTAAGGGGATCTATGCCTCCCTGCACCTCCACCCCTCCCCGCGCAGACCCACCGGCGTTAGACAAAGCCACCCCCCTCCCCAACCTCCCTCCAAAGGGCGGGGAGCGCCCAGCCCCGTTCCTCGCTCACCCAGGTGGGACATGGAAACGGTGCTGTTGCCGAAACGGGCCTCGTTATAGATGACCACGGCGGCTGCCCGCTTCCTCGCTGCGTTAGTGACCTTGTCCTTGAAGGTGCATCCGCCGCGGGCCACCAAAGCGATCCAGGGCGGCGGGTCGCCCTCGGGGGGCCCTCGGCCGCCGGGAGGCAGCGGCACGTCGTAGTCGGTGTCGGTGGCGCAGCCCTCCATGTGGCGGGGCGAGGCGCCTCGGGGGATGCCCACCAGGCCCTGGGCGCTCTCCTTGGGCGAGCTGTCGCCATAGCGGCCGCTCTCCGTGTTGCCCCGCACCGTGCGATTGCTGAGCGGCTCCACATAGGCCGTGCTCACCCACGCCGTGTACCACTCCAGGGCCCGCGCGCCCTGGACCACCGGCGCCAGCAGCGCCGCCAGCGCTGACGCCGCAACCACCAGCGCCAGCCGGGGGCGGCAAACCATGGCGCGGCCGCCGCCAGGCACCAAGGAGCGGGAGAGAAAGAGGCCGAACCTCTCCGCCGCAGCCTCTGCTCTGCTCTATCTCACGATCACCCAGCGCCGCGCAGGTAACCACCACGCCCCGCCCCGGGCGGAGCTCGCCCGCCAGCGCGGCTAATAGAGAGGAGGAGGCCGGGCCTCCCTGCCCTGCGCTACCGGCCGCGCATGCGCAGTTCCGCCCCGCAGCGTAGCAGCTCCTCTTCGGCTTCCGGCGGTAGGTGGTGGGATGTTTGGGTTGTTCTCTTCGTGGTGTGTGGGGTTGCGGTACGCTTCGGCTGCTGCTCGGGGTCACGCTCTGAGCGGAGGGAGCTGGCCCTCAGCGGACAACTGGTGCCGGCGTCGAGGATTAACCGAAACCGCCTCCGCGCCCCGGCCTCCCTGTACAGAGCAAACCTCGGAGGTTACATGGCCTTTAACCTCGGCCGTGGGCTGCTGCTATAAATCCAGTCCGTCCACTCGGGCAGTGACACATGCGTGGATTTGACTTAATGAATTTAGTGCTCCATCCGCCGGGGCACGCCTCACCCGCCTTCAAGGGCGCAGTGTGTGTGGTGGTTGTGGGGGAGTAAGCGTGGCTAGGGATGGAGAGGAGGTACAGTGGCACCTGGGAAAGGGATCAGCAGCTCAAGCTAGCATAGAGAAGGTACCTGTGCTGCTGTTGGGCTGAGGGGAGCGCACTTCAGAAGAACGAAAAATGGTAAGGGGCTCAGTACCATGTAAAAAACAGGAGAAAAAGTGTATTGAAATAAGAGGTGAAGAAACTTAGTAATCATGATTGGTTTATGGATTTGTTTTCCATTAAAGATCTATGTCTCTTCTTAAACGCATTTAAAGTCTTACCTATGTTTTCATCTCTACCACCTTCCAACTTCCAAAATGGATCTCATGTTTTTACCAACTACCAGTCTTATTTTAATGGTCTTATACGCCTTACACAGCTTCCTTCAGAAGTCAACAGTGATGTGATAATACATTGCTGCCTATGTGGCCAAACAATGTTGTCAAATGTAGGTAATGACCTTTCTAATCATGATTATATATTGTGCCTGCTGATGCAAGTGGAATTTAGTAGAGCCAGGAATAGTTTTTGTACAAGAAGGTGTCATCAGACAAAAGCTGTGAGCTCAGTGAACTGCCCTATTCTGATCAGCACCAAGGCAAATGTTCTCATTTGGCACGAATATGTTGCTATAAGAAGTTGTAACTGCCCCATCCCTAGCAGTGTTCAAGGCCAGGTTGGACAGGGCTTTGAGCAACCTGGTCTAGTGGATGGTGTCCCTGCTGATAGCAGGGGGGCTGGAACTAGATGGTCTTTAAGGTCCCTTACAACCCAAACATTCTGTGATTCTATGATTTCTGTTCTAGAGCTGGTGTTCAAACAAGTAAACAGGAAAATAATTTAGACCTGAAGTACTCTTTAAAGTAACTCCTCAGTATTCTTCCAAAACACTTAGCAATGCTAGGACTCTCTCCAAAGATGCTGAGCATTGTGAGAACAAGATTAAAGTAGCAAAATCAAAAAGACCACCAGGACTGAGCAAAGTAATGTGGAAGGGCTGCAGAGAAGGAATTGGAAGTTGAGGGAAGAACACAATAAAATTAGAGTTAATGAAGAAAAATGAGGAAAAAGAGAATAAGGCAACAGAGGAGCAGAAGAGTGTTAGATGGAAAAATGTGTGTAGAGTAGTGAAGTGGAGGCAGCTAAAGGTGATCTGTGTTGAAGGACACAAGTGACAATTCAGAAGGAGCATGAATTCAACGTTTAGCAAAAAGCAGATAAGAAAAAAGTGACAGTACTTTAGTGAGTCCAGAAATGTTGTTCAAATGAGAATTTTTTGGTAAAAACGTGGGTGACAGTGTAATCAGAATAAATATTACTCTGGAAACAGGGTGAAAGTAAAAAGGGTCAGTACAAAGGAAAAACACAGCTGCAGGAAATGTTCTTTTAAGAATACAGGGTTACTGGAAATAGGAAACTGATGGTGGCTGTGGTTGATACAGGTTAGGAAATACTGTCATGGTCCTCACAGTGAATGCAGTCCAACCACTGGCAAGACAAAGACTGTAAGGCATAAATAGGAAACACAGGCTGTTTCCTATAACCTCTGTCAGATATGAAGTGGGAATTTTAGTGGGAGAGCCTTAATTCTGTTGAAAGGAGGTGGTGTGGGAAAGCAAGATGAAAAGGTAAATTATCAGCTTCAGCCTAAGAAAACGTGCCAGGGGAGAGCAGACCGCAGAGAACAAGCTGTAACATGAATTTGTAAGAGTAAGGCAAAAAATAGCACCGAGGAAACTTCCAAAACACCATTAATGCACACCTGAGAGATGAATGCTCAGTCCCTACCTGCAGAAAAGAAGAGCAAATGTTGTTAAGAGTGACATTTAATTGCCACAGTGAAAGCAGAAAGCAAAGCTGACAGTAATGAGAAGACAAAGGAAAGATAAAGGTGCTTGGCTAGACTGTTCCCCTCAGATAAAAGTGAGGCTGTACCAAGACAGATGTTCAGATCAGGTAGAAATTATAATCACTGTCAGCAAAAGGTCATTTACTCTGGCTAATGCTGTACTGCAGACTGAAGAATATTCCAGCTGTAGTTTCTACTTTGAAATGTATTTTATTTGCATTTCTTTTCAATAGACATTTTGTTAACAACATTCAGTATCTTTAGAGGTCAAAACACATTGCAAATTGCAGTAAACATCCAGAAATAAGACATGTTGTGTTTCATTCACTGGTATGCTGAAAATTTTATCAGAAATGGAGCATTCTTTGGTTAAATAAGAACAGCAGTTCAAACTGTCTGTGCTTAAATCCTGTTCATGCAATGCCTTTGCACAAATTAGCAAAAAGTGAGAACCCAAGTTTAGAACTTTGTCTTCCTTTTTTTCAGCAAGTATACAGACATGACTAAATGCATCTCTTAAATATTGCAAAACCACAGTTAATGTTTTAAATAATACATATTGCACAACAAACTTTTTTGGGGAAGGTACAGAAATAACTAAAATGCAGAACACATGGAAATGAATTACACATCAGGTAGTTGAAATGTTTAATAAATTCATAAGGGCTTATCAAGACCTTTTATTAAAATGCTTATTTTATCTAATAATTAAAGCACAGAAAATAAATAGGATTTTTGCTATTGAGTTGAACTGAAGCAAGGTCAGACCCTTTACAGTCTCAAGGGACTACAATTTTGTTATGATATCTCAATAACATTCTTTGCGTTAAAAGCTTTAACAAAGATCACTTACCATATGACAACCAATATCCCTTGAGACATCTGTCACTTTAAAGAAAAAATTGAACTAGTATATAATTACTAATGCAAAGCCCAGTTAAGACAAACTGCCATCTCCTCCCTTTTTTAGTCTAGAAAATGCCATTCAAAACCTACAGATCATATTTTTGATGAATTTCTGCAGACTTTCAAGGTCTTTTATGGTAGCTATCCTTTGGGAGAAGGAAGCATGAAATGAGAATAGGTGATACAAGTATTTATGCTTGAAGCCCCGTTTGTCACTTTATATGCTATCACCATTTTATGTTTTGAGGTTCTGTCAAGAGCCTCATGGCAGGTCCATATAGAAAAGCTTCTTGATAAATGTGTCAATTTACAATACAGAAGCTACTCTAAGTAATCAAGGTGTGCACGGAGACAGCCCACAGCATATAGGGTATTGTAAATTCAAAACTTCTTAAACAGTTAGAGCTCTACTGAACATCACTGATACAATCCCTTACTGCTTTAAGGCAAGAGCATTAATAAGTTAATGGACAGAACATAGGGCCATGTCACTGTTACCAGGCTGTCTAAGTATGTAAGTGAAATTGAGAGTACAGTAACAACAGCATTTGTAAAATTCTTCCTCTCTTCTTCAGTTTGTTTAAACATTAAGCTTGTACACTGGATTTGTTTAATCTCTGTGTGTCTGTGTGTGTTTAGGGGCAGGGACAGAATAGGCAGGTCAGGTTTCTCTAGGAATAGTAGTGAACTGGGATAATGAAACATGTAATTAGAGTTGCACTGAAACGTTGGACTCTGGAGATTCCTTTACAAGGTCTAGTATTCTGCCTGTTGATGTCGAACTTTAAAGTCCCATTAATCCTAATGGGCAAAGTATCAGATCCGTAGTTGACAAAGATCTCCATGGGAAAATGATGTGAATCAAGGAGGATTTCACTTGGTGGTGTTCTATAAATCTTACAGGATGGGCTGTTTTGCTTCAGTACTACACAGTGAAAGATCTGGGGCAAACTCAAATGGGAAAATGCTGTTCATCTGTCAAAAAGAAAAAAAAAGGGAAAGAGAAGCAGGCAGGACATTTCCTCCTTTTGCATATACCTCTGCAAATATCTGCACTGCTACCAGTCTCTGGTAATGAGACAAGAAAAAAAAAGGGCTTAACGAGTGTCTAAACAAAATTTTCCCCCCAGCATATGTCTTCATTTCTTAGAGAATATCAGGAATGGTCATGATGCCCAGAGCCTTGAGCCTGTCCAAGGGCTAAGTAGCCCCTGGTAAGTTAAACCAGCATAGTGCCTAGCTGTGCTCTGGGAATGACTCCCTTTTTCCATGCCTGAAAAAAGTAAGATCAGCTACACTTAATTGGTTTCCAGCTGGTCATAGCTCATGCAGCTGCCTCTGAGCTTTACCCAGGGATTAACCTGTACAAGCTCAGGTCACTTGCTCAGAGACTCAGGCTCTTCCTCAGACCTGCCATGGTGTGGGCTGGTGTCCAAAGCTCAGATGCTCCTCTAGGGATGCTGGAGAACCTTCCTTCCCCACAGGCACAGAAACCCCATCTCACTCTGTCTCTTTCTTAATAGAACAGTCATATAATTTTCAAACAGTGTAATGGCTTGGCTCGTTAGCCATGGGAACTTTCTTACTGTGATACGCTTAGGAACTACAGTTTACCAACGCATCTAGAGAAAGGGCTGAAGACGAATAAAACACCTTTAAACTCTTCTGGTACTATCACATGAGGCACCTATTCATAATGTATTTGCAACAAAGTTTGCACTTTCCACACAAGGAAAATTAGCTTTTCATGGCCTGAGATATATACCTATCTTTAGGCTTCTTTAAAAAATAAATTCAGGAACAAGCCCTTTAAAAGTTGGTGAGGAAACTGTTACAGGACTGGCTCCACCCCTAGATGAGTTAGTGATGGTTTACAAAAATCAGTTGCACAAATAGGTTAAAAATAAAGTGGTGGCTGGAAGAAGGATGAAAAAAAAATCAGGACTACAGGCCATTAAAAATACTTTTCCTGTCTGCTAGCAGGAACAGGCTAGCTGAGAACATTTATTTAAATTCTTCTTATGAGACTGTTTATACTTGTAATAGGATAATCCTTGTGGGGCTGATTTGGTTTCAGCCCTTAATGTGTTCAACCAGCTTTGTGTCAGTGAGAGACAAGTTATATTGGAGCCACGTTGTTTGAGCTGCTTGCATTTTTTCTACTAAAAGAATTTCTACTCAATTTCCAAGTGAAGTATCAAATTATCTAGGGATAATTGGGAAAAGCACATGTAGAAAATACAAGTTAGGAAATGAGGACAGCTTCAGCAAAGTTTTAGCTTAAATATCTAAATTTTCAGAGATTAAGTTTCTCTGAAGAGTACTTACAAATAACGGGAGATCAAGCAGCAGTTAATACCTCCACAATGCATAGAGAGTTCTGAGTAGGCAGTTTGCTTTTTCTGTAAATCATAACATTATATTTAGTCCATACTGTAGTTTCCCTGTGGGTGCATAGCAATAGGAATCAAAACAAACAGATACAAAGCATTTTTAAGCAGCATTTAAGATGATGCACTGCCTGTTTGAAATGACAAGTTTGCACATTGCAGGGTAGGGCTAGTATCCGTTTCTCCTTTATAATTTGAAAGTCTGTGTTGGTTTATTTTTCACTCTGTGCTGTGTAAGACAGGGCTATTTTGAAGACTTCTGGGGGAAAGAAAAAAAAATCACTGTGAAGTAACCATCCAGCAAAAGACTTTAAATGTGTTTGGAAAGGAAACTCAGGAGGGCTGTAGCTCAAAGCCCATTCAATCATCCTTTATTTGGAGCTGCTTTTAAATACTCTTCTACTCCAATGGCAGAAACCTCTCCATACCAGCTTTGAAGCCAGATGTGCTCAATGTTCATTTTCATGAAGAACCACTCATAGCTACGAGGCCACTTTCTTACCACAGGGTGCCTGGAGGGACAAAGGAAAAACCAAAAGCCTTAAAAGATGTGCCAAGGCACATGTGTAGTCTGCTTTTTTCTTCAGCCTACTGTGCTCAGCCAGTGAAACCTGAGATATGAGAACCACCACCATTCATCTTTTTTTGCCTTCCCTTGCAATAAGTTTAACAATCTTCCCCACCCTGGTCTGGCGACAACTGTAATGAAGGCAGCGAGCAGACACCACCTTCCCCTGTTGCAGAGCCACATCTCTAAAGGGAGATGTTGTTTGGTCTCCTAAGTGAAAAACAGTTAGAGGAGATTCTGTGAATGTGTGTCAAGGTTGTGTTTGTATCTGTTCAAAGGAAACAGTGTTCTGAAAATACAGTTGTGGTATGGCAGGAGAGCCAATAAAACTGGCTAGTACAGACCACAGCCTCCTCGATCTGTTGCCTGCTAGAACCTTCTCACCCTGTAATTCTGTCTTATTTCTTGGGCTTGCCCTTACAGCTAGCTCAAGGAGACCCTCCCCACCATCAATACTGGGTGCAGACATCTGGTCCCCAAGTCCCAGCAAGTGCATCTGCAGAGGATGCTGTGGGATGGAGAGCAGCAGTGCAGAGAGCAGATAAATCAGCTCAAGTTGCAGTGTTCACGGAAGCACAGGTGAAAGTGGTGCCAGTCCAGGCAGGGCTAGCCCAGTGCTCCTCTCCTCTGCAGAGAACATGGTTGGTTTGGCAACCTCTTGGGTTAGCTGGGCTTTCACACCATATTCTGAGTTGTCCCTTTGAGCATACACAACGGTGACATTGGGAAGTGGCTCCAGCTGCTGCCGGTGTTGGATGGCGTAAACCCTGGTAGCCTTCTCTGTGTCATTCTGGCTTTTGCTCATCCCAGTTTCCTGTCAGTATTTGATTGACCAGGCAGGGTGTGCCTGGAGGACCATCCCTGGCAATCAGTGTGGGAGGTGTGTGTAAGCTAAGGTTCTGGCCTGACTGGAGGGCATAGGGGCACACCCTCTGTGTGTGTGTATGTGTCTGGGCTGGGCTTGCATCTGTTCAAAGAAAGGTGTTTGGCAAGTGCTATGACTTTGGTAGCAGTTATCATGGTACCTCAGGAGAGGTAATAAAACCTGTGAGCTCCACCCTACAATAGGTGTAAACCCAGAGGCAACAGAGCTCTGCTCAGTCTCTGAGTAGGGGGCTGTAGCTGAACAGCTAAAGAGCACTACCTGTCCTAAGAATCATTAACGGTAACAAATAAACCCTGGATTTATGGAACCTCTCCTTGGAGCCAGGTGAAGTATTTTCATAATCCCCGGATCATAAACCACGTGCCTTACTGGAGTCCAACACCGATTAATTGCATGTTTGTATTTCATTACCTCTAGAGTTAAAAGGAAGTCGCACAGCTCTGCCTGTCATTCCAAACCACACAGAAGCCAACACACTTTGTGGCGCAAAGTAAAGATTTGGCTTGTTACTGCTCAGATTTTCTATACCAAACGGCCACATCCATATATTTGTCTCAAACCTGTGGGTTGCACTCTACTATATGCCTGTTATATACAGACCTGGAAAACATTGCTTGCTTGGCAAATTCCACTTCCTCAGGAGGAACCGTGACCATCTGTCCCGTGAGAGTCAGCCTGGTGCACCTTGGATCCTCTGGATCAATTACATTTTTTCTGTGCACAGAGAAAAATGCTCGTGTAATAGCTTGGTTTCTTTGTTAAGGTTTTTTTGAGAAACACAAACACCTGCTCACATACAAAAAAGATGGAATATTTTGTCAAGCCTTGCAGGTCTTTTCTATACCCAGCTGTAACATTTGAGGAGGGTCTTTAAGGAATACTCACCTGAACAGCTCTCTGCTGTAGATATTTGCTTAATTTGTATTCTCAAAAACTGGATTAATATATGCTAGACAGTAAAAAATGTGAAAATGGCAGATTTCCCAGACATACATACGAACCTGAATTCAGGATTCGAAAAAGAACTAGTGAGATGGTTAGTCTGTGCCTATGTGTACAAAATAAGTGTTCATACCTGTATTTATGCATAAAAAGATAATGGTCTTTTCCTTGTGCCTATCCTATAAACTCAATCCATGTTCATTTTTACCCATTTTTCAATTGCTTTACACCAAAGCAACAAGTAAGATCTATGAAAAAAAAATCTCCAACTGCCTTCATCCTTCAGACCAAGACCAGGAAGGTACTTGTTGATTTTTGGCTTTCTGTACAGTAATAATTAATAATTCCCATTAGTAGCTGCCAGGCAATTGCTGACTCTAACATATACAATACAAGGATATAAATTGTAAGTAAATTGACAGGTCACAAAAAAAAGCTTTATGAAATGACTGCAAAGGCCTGATCTTCGTGACAGCCCCAAGTCCCATTGCTAGCATTTTGAGCCTGCTCAGCATCTCACAGGACAGTCTCCTCATGTAAGAACATAAGCCAAAGAAACTACATTAGGAAACGAAGACTGCATTTCTTCTTCTCTGTGTTTTAATTGGAAGCAGGAAATCACAGTAAATTACATCTTATCTGTGTGCAAGTTTACATAAAGATCTTGGCTTGAGCCCTTTAGCCTTAACTGTGTGCAATCTGCAGTGGCTTTTTTTGTTTTGTGGGGGAAGGGATGTAAATCTCCATATATGTCTATTGCAGGAAACATATGGACATCATCTTGCAGCAATTTAACACCTGCAGATTCCCCACAGATGGTTATGAAAGAGTGTAGCTCACTGGATAAAGAACCTGCTTTTATGGATAGGGCTATGAACAGAGGTACGCAAGGAAGTATAGCGGGCTGACTGATAGTCAGCTATGCCCAGTAAGCACTTGGCACCATCTGTAGCCTGAACTCCAAAAAGCCATTTGCAGTCACATCATCTCTGAGATGATTTTTCAGCATCCTGTTCAGTCTGGAACAGCAGTTGTCTGAAGAGGGTGTTCAGCTCTCTGGACAAACTCCACTCATATTCTTTTTTCCTCTGCCACACTTTCTGCATGAGGAAAGGCAGCTGCCAAACATCAAGCTCAAACTTTCTGTTCACATCAGTTAATAAGGGTGCAATTTTCTGCAGCACATTTTTTATCTTTTTTAAATGAAGTAGTGAGTGAATGGTGTTATGAGTACCTGAAAATCTGCATTCCCTGCTCTGGCACTGGGTTTGGTTTATTCATACACCATTTCCTCTGCAGCCTAACAGTAATGTAAAACAACTGAAGAGCAGGGAAAAGCAGGAGTATTTGCAAATGCCTGTCTTGGGTATAGCTCTTGTTGTCATTAAGCAGTGAATCCTGCTTGCATTTGCTGAGACTGTTTCCCCTAATAGGACTAGTGTCAGATGTGACTTATCTGATTTACAGGAAAATCTGCTCTTCACATACTTGGCCTACAGCAAAACCCACACACTGTACATCCATATCCGGAATGGTTTTATTTCTGTTTTTCACTCTGTCTCCTTCTCTGTTTGCAGTTTTCTGTATGTTCTTGTGAGTCAGGGTGTTACACTGAGCGACACACACAATACTATCTTCCCAGTAAAAGTTAATCTATGCTGAATTTTGCATATTGGAATAATATTCTGGAGGGTCAGTTTGTTCTTCTGGGACATGAGGCAAACAAATTATTTGTTGAAATCTTGTTAGATAAAGTTTTGGAAGAGTTGAATGGGAGAATAATACATTTGAGTTCAGTATGCTGCGTTATTACTTTGTTGGCTTTGCTTTTAGTGCTGCCTCTTATCACAGGTTTTCTGTTTCAGAATAGGAAACTTGTTTTTTAATCTTCCATTAGCATTAGTATTTTTTTTAATCAAAGGAGCCCTTAATATTCTGAAGTAAATCTGTTTCTGCACTGGCTTTGGCATTGTACTTCCCTAATAATGTGTGATTACTTTTATACGTTTTAAACCATCAAAAATCCCTAAACTTACAGCTATCACTTCTGACTCCATTGTGAACAGTTCTGTAAATGCAGGCTTTGCTTCCTAGGAGTAAATGGATATGGCCAGGGATACATTTCATATTTTTACTAACGATAATAAAGGGATAGGGATAAATAGGTATATTTACTAAAATATTCCTCCCTCGTATCATGTAGAGGCCTAACCATGCATTCACTAGTCACTTTGTGCCTTCTGTATAAACAAACATATTCAGCTCTCAGTCCTTGGGTTCCTTCTTTGCTGGCACAAGAACAAGTAGGTGTGGAGGAGTGACTTTATATAACATCTGTGTGCTGCTGACTGGGGATAAAAGCTGGGGGACAGACAGCATGCCGCTGACACTGTCTCTCTAGGAAACATGGGGCTATGATAAGGTATTAACCGAGGAGAAGGGAAAGCAGGGAACTCTGAGAGGACACCAAGTCATAGGAAATACATTTTTTTATGCTTGTTTAAAATACATACACTTTGTTGCAGAAATTGAGGGAAGCCAAACTAAAACGGAAGAAGATTCAGTTTATAGATTTTATAAGAATGCAGTGCATTAAGAGGGCTCATCTAAATCATTCATCTGATTTGTGAAGACAGAAGAATATATTGTCTCTGTTCCCCTGATTACACTGCGCAAACTAGATAGGCAGAGTTTGACGCAGTACAGGCAGTTGTCTCTTCCAAGCATGTGAGATGAGATCATGAGCTACATTCACTTACAAAGGTGGCAGCTTTACTGAACTTGAGGAGAAATCTCTGTCCAAGTGAAATATGTTTCCCAACAGAGATGCAATGCTGCTTACTGCTGATCAACACATCCCACTTGTTTTACCGTGTACCACTTCCGCACTTTCTGGGTCATGGTTCAAGAGTGGTTCAGAGTAGAGTGCCACCTACTCATTAAATTGTTTACTACACCAGCCATCTCTTGGATTTTAATTAGAAGGTCCCTATACAACAATTAGCGAAGTCCGGATCTAATGAACCCATAGTTCATGAAGGCTGATGTGATTATATTGGCACAGAAGGTGATTATGTTGGGACTTTGTTAGGATTCCATTTCACAGCTGAGATCTCTGCTTTGACTGACAATGCTCTGTATCCTGGTTTCTGACCAAAAGTATTCCTGAGTATTAGGTTCATTTTCAGCCTTCTCAGTCCATTAGTGAGGTGAAACAGATCAGGCACAGATGAGCAGTAAAGACAAAACAGGATTTTGGGAGGCATTTAGGAAGGAAAGCCAGGCTGACCCCAAGAAGGAACCAGTAGGAGGAAGGCAGGAGGGTTTCAGTAATGCTTGAGGTATTGGGGAAGGAAGCATGGTTCTATGGAGAGGAGTCTCTTTTTCTTCTTACTGGGCTGCATCAAAAGAAGCATGACCAGCAGGTCAAGTGAGGTGATTCTCCCCCTCTGCTCTTGTAAGATCCCACCTGCACTACTGCATTCAGCTCTGGGGCCCCAACATAATAAGGATGAAGACCTGTTGGAGCGAATCCAGAGGGCCACGAAGATCAGAGGCCTGGAGCACCTCTGCTGTGAAAGCAGGCTGAGAGAGTTGCGGTTGTTTAGCCTGGAGAAAAGAAGGCTCCGGGAGACCTTAGAGCAGCTTCCACTACCTAAAGGGAGCCTACAAGAAATCTGGAAAGGGGATTTCTACAGGAGCATGTAGTGATAGGACAAGGGGGAATGGCTTTAAACTGACAGAGAGGAGATTTAGATTAGGTATTAGCAAGTAATTTTTTACTGTGGAGGGCAGTGAGACACTGGAACAGGTTGCCCACAGAAGTTGCGGATGCCCTATCCCTCATTCCATGATTCTACAATTCCCCAGCCTCCTTTTCCCACAGAGGAGGTACCATCCTCTTCCACCCATTTGAAGAAACAGCACGACCTTCCGTCCTCCCTGTCAGGATCCATTAATCCTTCCCATCTCCTCTGAATACAGTTCTTCCTGCCTTGTAAGAAAGCATTGCTTTTACCCCTCTACTTCGAGGGCAAAATAGAGGAGAAAAGAAGTTGGAAAAGAGCTTTCTCCTAATTCAGAAAAGGAGAGCCAGAGCACTAAGAAAAAAAGTCCAAGAGTCTTCCTACATTTTTTCCTACTTTAGTACATTCAGCTCATGTGTGGCGTAAGGACAATGACTGTCTCCACACATCCTCACCTCTCCTATAGCAGCAGCAGCAGCAGCAGCTGCCATGCAAAACCATGCAATTAGGGAGGTGGGGACTGGCTGCTGGAACAACTCGTCCCTGTCACCTCCCACAGATGCAAGGTAAGAACCCTGTCACCGTGCACAGGGCTCCTCTTCGCCTAGCCCCAAACTGAAGACTTAATGAGTTATTTTCTAGTACACAGAATACATCATACGGTTTCTTGTCCCCTAAAATCTACCGAAAGGGAGGGATGAAATGCTGTGTCCTCAGAGATTTATTGTAAAGTGCTTATAATTTTGATTCATAAATGTGATTAATTTTGAAAAGCAAGTTATCCTCCTCATACATTTCATTTGCTCACCACTAACTACCACAGTCTTTGAAGCAGAACGAATGTATTGGTACTGCTAATCTGCGTGGCATGAACGTCAAACAAAATCTCTGCTGAAAGCAATTTCATAATCTCAAAAGCTGTTGCTGGCCTTCCGCTGGATACGGCTGGGCAGTTTTGCCCTACCCTGCTCTGATTTTGTCAAGAATTTCTTTATCAACCATCTTTGAGAGCCAGCAAAAATAGTT